GCACTGATAAATATCGCAATATTTCAAACGAACTAATCAAGCAGAATGAAAACTTTCGAAGTATCATTTTCCGCTTCTCACAAAATCTTCAAGTGATAACATTTATTAATACACACCACTTCCTTCCAAAGTGTAATATCTCGTGAAATTTCACTGAACATTTGATACTTTTCATGATGACGCCACAAATATAATATGCTTTCGGAAGAAATATATAGGAAGAAATGCTGCTTGTCATAGACGTGAATCCTACACTTGTACGCTGATCTAATACAGAAAGAAATATATCCACTGGCTGTTAGTAACTTGCAACTATTTAGCACTAAAAACGAATATGACAGCGTACATTGTAATAAACATTGCATGTTACATAAATTTGAACTGTGTACTGTTCGCTCAATTTCAAACTTTCAAGACCGCAAACAAATTAGCTGTTTTGCCTGTATCACTGATATTTCAATTCTATTTCAAGATCATTACAAAGGTCAAGTTTGAGCAGTTAGCAACCAGTAACATATAAAAGTACATTAATAATCAAATTTCAGTTACGTCGAATCTGACTCGATAATCAAAAACCTAGTAACTGTGTCGCGATTTTTCAAGGTTTACTGTTTTATTGGAAATCCTCAACTAGAAATGTGTTTTACATTTACCTTCTCTGTAATTAATGATTAGTGCAAGGCTTTATTATGCTTTATTTGGGAAACATGACAAAAGTTTAACTATCACTTGCTTGCAAATCAGAACAGAGAAGAAAAACAATAGAATAATATAATCAATATTAAGACATCATTGTTTTGAAAGTTCCTGGTAAATATGGTCCTGCGCTATCGGTGAACCAAGAAACAATAAGTGTAAACATAATCCCACTTGTTATTCCTGCAGAAAAAAATATAGAAACATACTACAATACTGGAATGATGGTTTAAATCACCTATCTGAAACTTTGTGATTTGGCCCATATCTTTTGGAGTAAAGGAAAAGACCGGGTGTATTAATAGTCCTATTATTCAATATATTAATGTTCAAGCTACAACGACAAAAAGCACAGGAACTTACCGAACATCAAGAAAAAGGCAGCTATCATGCCAGCAGCTGCTGACTTTGATGGTTCAACAATTCTGAAAAGAGCTCTAAACCGTAAATGCCCTTTAAAAAAGTTTCCAAATCTTCAACAATCAGCCCATCCTATCAAGTATTAGGGCCCTACAATTTTGAAATCAATAACACAGAGCTTATACAAAACATTCAGTGAGATAGATTAAATATTGTTCACCTCGGAGCATACATCATTGCTAAAGAGCTGAAATATCCACTGGTAATTGACATAACCACTGCTAAGGCAATATAGATCCAAACATTGTAGATCCAAATATTCCACGTTCGATATTCAGGACGAAAATTACAGAATATCATCAATGGAATAAAAATGATACGTGCAACAACTGGAAATATTAACCACTTTTGTGAAGGCTGAAATGTATAACAGATTTGATACCAAGGAAAAATTTTTAATAAGAAGAAAACAAGGCTGTGCATATAAATACGAAATCTGAAATCTTGCAACAACTTACCCACTGTACAAAATTCGCCAAAAATGAACCAACAACAGCAAAGAAATTGAATAACAAATATGTCGTAATCGAGATAAATAGTTTTTCTGAAAATCTATCGTAGAACAAAGAAGTTGACAATGGAAAACAATTCTTATTATTGAGTTCGGCAGTACTATCAAGCCTTTTAAAAAAGTTTGACGTTTTGGAAGTAAAATACATTGATAAAATGCAGACTTTTATAATGTGACAACATTTTTGTGCACATAAATTTTAAACCTTCTTCGCCCTTCTTTATCAATTCATATTCACTAACCCATTGCATGTCAACTCTGTAGGTTAGTAGTAAATATACAATTAATCCCAAACAATAATCACAGTTATCAATTGATTCAATTTAAAGAGTAATGTAGCAGAAATACAACATTATTGAAAACTGATGAATATTAAATTAACTGCACCAGGTATGATAAAATCATATTTCCCACTTTCGGAGTAATATCTGATATCCGCCATTGTAGTGGGAAATAATGTTAATGTTACGAAGAACACACACCACACATTGAAACACTGCACTTTTATCTGAAAATTAATTGATAGTGAGAGACAATAAAAACAACGCTTACCTTTCTAAAGCATTTTTATTGTTGGGGAAGCTGAAAAAATCACATTCAACAAAAGTGCTTAGTTGCAAAAGCAAACCTCTAAATATTAAAGTTTTTCTTTCCAGATTCAGAAATGCAGATAAAAGGATCATGTATGATAGAGTTGCGCTTCACATTTAAAGAAGTTCTATTATATTCAATATACAATATTGTTATCACATTTTTTAGTTGGTTATTCTTTCATTAAAAGAATTTTGATTATAAAAAAGAAAGACTTTAAGGCTCCAACAAACAAATGAATTAATTTTAACTGCATATGATGATCTAGCAGAACTAATGAAAGATGCACCTTCCTGTAAACCTCGAAGTACAACTTTAGTTTGGCTTTAAAACTTGATTGTAGTACTTTTTGGCTTTCAGTAATTTCTCCAAACTTATTCATTTCACTTCCACTTCCTACTAATTCAACTCCAGTGATAATATTTTCCGAAGCTACAGCTTCTTTCTTATCACTGTCTTCTTTAGATTTTTTCATGTAGTAATTGTAAAATTCCTGAAATGAGGAGTAAACAAACATCTTATATGTAAATTTACACCGCAATAACACGAAATTCATATTGAAGAAAAAGAATCAAAAACGCACAAATTTTTGTAGCAAGAATAATGATCCAATACAGCTAATTATCGTTAACAGTGATACCAAAAAATACAAAAAGGCGGCCATTTTGGTATTCTTTGCAGCTGAAATGCCAGCAAAGCAGTAGAAAAAGCTGGATGTCTTCACTTGATGAAACAAAATTTTATTGAAATGGAAGCAAGTTTATTGTCTACTTAGATGGCAACGTTCCAAACAAGAAACTTCAAAAAGCCAACAATTATGAATTACAAAACGGTTGTTATACTTCTCAATTACTTCCTTTTTTAATGGAAAACTAGACATTGTAAAGCAACAACTAACCAACAAGTGTGATGATACTCATAACAGAAACAAACGTGCCACATATGTTGTTACCCAAAATGAGCGCATTCGTATAATGAGGCGGGAAACTAGCAGTCAAGCCGTACAAGGAATTCTGATAAATACCATTAGCTGCGTTTAGTATCACTACTGTGACCATTGTAATGATGAAAAATGTAGTAATCACTGAAAAAGCAAAAGAATGTTGATGAAAAAATGAAGAGACATAAAGTATGATTCAATTATTGAAGATTTCAAAAAAAGCGCTATTTAGGCTTGAATTGAAAACTTACTCTTCGAAGTATCAACCAAAGTAAAAATGAGAGTAGCTAATGTAATTATGGCCAAAACAATAAGCGAAGAACCAATTCGTCGTCGCAAACCACCTCTGCAAATTGTGCCAAGTAACCAAACAAAAAAGTAATGCGACGAACACAATATCTCAAAACTTTGGCATTTATTAGGAAATTAATTAAAGTTATAATTTTTCGTTCAAATAATTTTATTGTTTTTGTAAATATCAATGTTGCTTATTTTACAACAATTCTAAAACATTTGAAATTTCTTAATAAGTCATCTAATGTAAAATACAAATTTATAGGTGACGGAAACTAACTTTATCTGAATAAATAAGTTTGTTAAGTTAAGTAACAAAGTTGGTAATTGAGAAGCAAGACCAAGATAGCTCAAAAAATGAAGTGCATAATCAGTTTTATGTACAGCACCATCAGCATCAACCTCGACGAATTTATAATTCACATAGTACTGAAAACAGTTCTGATAATAACAAGATATTTTTAAATAACAACTACGATTTTTTAAAATTGAAATAAAAAAGTTTATGGTGAAGATGAAGAGGATGGAGAGCAAACTTGATTCTTTTCATTAATTACCATCAACTAAAGAAAAGACTAGTGGGTAATTGTGTACTTAATATTACAATGAAAGTTCAAAATTCTATACGACTAAAGAAGTTAATAAAAATGAGTAGTTTGAATACAATTTTTTGAAAAGAAATAATTTGAAAATTTATGAGCGACAGAACAGAAAATCCAGAAAAAAGGAGGATTTTTAATAGCAAGGACAAACAAATGAAGTCATAAAAAGTATTCATGAAAAAATTCACTTGAACTTAAGTCTTAGCTTCTGATACTTTATCTGAAATCATTCATTTACATGTTTTTACATTACAAATATTTATTCTCTACCAACTATCCAAATATTTCAACATAATATCGGGATACTTAATCACGAATACTAATTGTGGTACTTATGTTCTGGATCTATACAGAATAAGGATTTACTAAGCTTACATTATAGAATGATTCCGTTAAAAATGATTAAAATCCTCGATATTTTATAAACTTGAAATTCCTTAAATTATATCTAAACCTCTTTTGACACAAAGGTAAACTTACCTAAATCTGATAATTTAATACCAAGCCTTGTACTGCTTGATAAAAGAAATAATATCAATAAATCCCTGTTATGAAATTAATCAATGACGCAGTGTTAAATATGATAAATGAAAACTTACAGAAGGTGCAATGGTAATAAACATATTCCATGGCATCAATGTTCCTATACCATTAAGTAGAATAAAGAGATAAACAGCGTAGTATTTGTCTTCCGGAGGTTTTTTCGAAAGCATCGCTACTTCCTCTAAGTTTTCCTCAGCACCTAGAAAATTGTAATACACAAAAATTATTGAACAGTTGCAAGATTTGTATTTTCTGATCCAATATGATTATGCAATATGACAGACTGATAGTGCAGAATGTTAATGCCCAAGAAAAGACGGCTCTCATTACTCTCTATATGTAAATGATAGTTTCTTCACTACCTTTGACAAATGTCAAACACGCAAATGACACATATATTAATTATTATTATCAAATTCCAAATCTTACTTAACCAATTGTTGGTAAAATGATTAACTATTATTTTGACCAATTTATTGGATCAAATACACAACTGTACATGCATGCACCATACATAATATTCCAATTACAATAAATAAATGCAAAACGCATTTAATTTACAAATAATGGAACACTTTTGAAATTATTCAGAAAAATACCATTTCAGTACAGTGTTCTAAGGTAAGGCCAACAACCGCAGAGGAAGAAAGACAAGACACTGAAAATTGCAATGACAACAATTATGTTTCACAGCTATTTGAGTCTTTGCACAGTAAAACAAATGATATGAAAAGTACAAAAAATGCAGCTAGTACCAAACAATATGTCAACATAGAAAGAAAATATTTAAGCATGTAAACTTTGACAGTTAACTTATGAACTACTGACGTCACATTTGATATCATCGGTAACTACTTCATTCATAAATCAAGTTGATGCGTTATCTAAACTACTAGTAACCGTTTTTCCTGGAATATTATCGGTAGCTATCTATTGTCAACATATTTCTTAGTATCTTTTAAGTATCACTTCATAAAATTGCAAAATATTTTTATTGCCAGAAAATAATCTCATTTTTAATCTTCAATTATAACGAGTCAGCACAATAAAATGAGCGAGAAATAAATTTTGTTACAAATTTGATCAAACCAAAAGTTCAGCTACAGAACGAACCAAGAATGAACGAAGAGAGCAAACAGAAGCTAATGGTATATGCTCTTTGTTCGCAAAAATTTTACGTCATTCATACAATTGCAGTCCGGAACCAGATGTTACCGACAAAGTAATTTAAATTTCATTTGAACTAAAGCTATAACCGCGAAAGTAACTCCTCATAAACGTAGAAACACAGGTAAACAGATCAATCTATCTTTTCGAATTTCAGCAACTAATTTAAAACAGAAACAGAATTTGGACTTTGTGAGATTTTATAAGCAACTAATTTATAAGAAAACTGCTTGAACTGAAACGGATAGAGAAGCGTTAGAGACTTATTCACAACCTAAGAAATCCTTCTGATCACCTATGATCAAAATTCTTGTCATTCCCTTCATTACAATAAATTTTTCACTGCGAAACTAGAAATAGAATTAAAATGGAGCTGCATTTAAGACACCAAAAAACAGACTAACATCAATCTCTGCTAGGCATTTCTGGGGCAGAAATCACTGAAATTACCAAATTCCATCAGGTGAACAAAAAAAATTCTGACAAAGATGAAATTATTTCGTATGAATATTAAAATATTACAGAAATATTAATTTCAACAGCCGCCTCAAAAGACATGCTAATTAATGACTTTAGTAATGCATCATATTATTATAGGTTTAGCTGAAAATGTGGAAAGTACTCGTAATAAACTTTTTTGCTATTTTATACGATAACGATTACTTTACAGAGTCAACTTTAAGTATGTGCGATTGTTATAACATTGAAAATTTGGTATTATATAGTTAAAAGAAGCCAATTTATGACTTAAAGTCTGTTAATCTTGACAAATAAACTGTAAAAAACTATGCTTTTGATATTTCTAGCTACAAGAAGGCAAATATGAAAGGTGAGAAGCTAATTCTTATCAATGCCACTCACTATTTACGCTTTCACAGACTTTGTTTGCTTTATAGGTAGCTTTTACCAGTCGTAAATTTGTAATGTCTTGCGGAAAGGAAAGGAATGGGAAAAGAGAGAAAAAAGTGAAAAGGAATCGCTTGTCTCAATTTGTCAGGAAGTACCAAAGTGAAGATGTGAGGATTGTAAGCCAAACTGTTTTTATTTATTTTCTTACTGTTACCTTTTAATCCTCCTAGATTATTAGCGAACAAATATTATGTATACTGTATAAATACTTTTATGTCATAAATAAGTTTTTATCAAACAGAGATCGCATTAAACGAATAAGAACAGTATGTATCATTTAGTTTCAGTAAAAATTTAAGCTTACCTAAATTGTTAGTCCTAATTTTCTGCATTTCCATTGGTGCTGAAATAATCGAGATTAAATACTTGATAATAATAACATGCAAAATTGTGCGACGCTTCGTTTTCTAGCAGTAATGAGCATTAAAAATTGTAATAATTGATCAATTTGAGCCAAATGATATTTTAAAACGTTGGATTAACAGAAGTTAAACAGGAACTGAAATCGATCGACTTTTTGAAAGTGGTAGTCTTCTATTTCTGTTGCAGCTATCATAGACGGTAATATTAGAGTATTACGAAAGGAATGCAAACCATTCCGTGGGCAATGAATTGATAATGAACACAGGGCAACATAAGGGAAAAAGTAAAGGCATTCAATAAAGGTTTTTGCAATCAGATGAACTTAGAGATATGAGCATTTGAAAGAAAGAAGTGTGAAAATGGGTGATATCAATTTATATCACTGCTAATTAACCAGAAATAGAGTGTTTAATGCTGTCACTTTTTAGAAAATTAATTGAATGACAGCTGCTTAAAATAGCACAAATGGTTATTTGTGATACAGGACAAATAATCTGTGTTGCTTAAAGGTCAACAAAACTATCTAACATTTTAAAAGTTAATGACATGTCTCGCGAGGTACAGTAAAACGATGTTAATGTCAAACTAAAAGAAGCACACATGGTGACAATGCAGCTGGAAACTGCTGAAGGATACTGATTTGCTTTAGAGGGAACGATAGAAAGAACAGAAGGTTTTAAGCAGATTTAGAGTACAAGCTAAAACTTAGAATAAAATTGTCACTTTCAGCAATACTACCTTGTTTATCTACGTACTCACATTTTATTTCCATTACGTATATAAAAACATTTGCTTAAGGTTAATGAAATACGTGGCAAAAACGTGCACTTTATACAGCACTAAAAAACAAGAATATAAATGACTAGGTGTGCAGTAATACCATCACAGAATGATTTGCAGTGAACTACTCTAGCTAAAATGAAAAGTGATTTCTGTTTCAACAATCATTGCTCACTAAAATGTGGATTAGCGATGGCTCACTACCAACCTAAACCTGGGTTATAGAAAAGAAATAAATGAGAATGACCATCATGAAAAACAATGATAGTAAGCCAGGTTGAGATGCATAGATGAATGAGTAATGCATAAAGACATATGAACTGAACACATCAATAGGGTGATATGAACTCAACACATCAATCAGGGTGTAGTAGTGGTATTAGTAGTGACCAGCAGCAATCAGATACCAAGAAATCTCGGCAGACTGCTGTCTGCCTGTGTGTGTTGTGCAGTACTCCTATCCAATGCAGTCCCGCCATTGCAGCAGCAAGCAGCATACCTCGCAAATTCAAACATACATTAGCTTGTATTGCTGAGATAATCGGTGCATACAAGAATGCATAATGGCAGCATAGAATCAGTGCAAACTGTAGTGAATGAACGGTTACGTATGGAATATGCTTGGAACAGTGCCTCTCGTTCTTGCTGGTAACCATTGCTTTGCCCTAAATTTTCCTTACTTGTCTCATCCCTATCATCATTTTTTTCTATCGATTATTACTGTCATCTATTTGAAGTAATGAAATTAAAGTCATTGCCATAGCCATATTACACTTTAATTGATACCCCTTCATATATACTTCTAAAAAACGTAGACCTCTACATAACTGGGTCCAAAACGGATGAATTAGTACACGAATTATTTCACTTCAACTCATATTCCACGTCCATCTTGCATAAATATTAGCTCTCCACTTGCATGCAGTAACGACTGACGTGCAAAGCAATCTAATTTCTTTTCTAAGTATTTTCTTTATCATATATAAGGATGCGATGCAAGTTAAACATTCGAATGAGATGGCAAAATTTACTTGCATTTGTTTCTGCGTATCAAATTTAAGCAACCCATCGTAAAATTTTAAGAGTTATAACTAAAATTTTAAGCAGACATAACGATTAACTAATCACATATCCTTTGAAAATACTGCCTGGTATGATCACATTAGATGCAAATTAAAAAAAGCACATGTGTGCAATGTCTCTCATCCTGCACTCTATCCATAGAGATACGGCATAAGAGTATTAAATCGACTCTCATACTAGTCCACAAAAATTTCATCAAATTTGCGAAGCTGATCTAGGCAAATATGTGTGAACTGTTCCATGGCCTTACCGTACTACACCAATTTCTTTTATATAATCAACAAGCTTTTCATCTCTCAAATCTCTTATTGTTTAAGAATTACCTGGAGATTCCTGAACATTTTTGCTTCACTTATCTTACCATTTTAAAATTCAGTGATTGCTTCCAAGTTACGTTGATGTAAGTTGGTATCTATAATCAGCTTCACATCATAAAAAGTAATAGAACTCTGCTTGTCATTTCTTAAAAGTCCTTGAATTACGAGTTCAAAAAAATTTGCCAAGGTAGTTCAAATAAGAAATTTCGAATAAAAAACATATGCAGTTACTTAGGTGATCTCTTCAACAAATTATACGAGTAAGTTTCTAACAGCTAAGGTGTTCAAGCGTTATGCACAAATTAATTACCAAATATGAGTGCTGTGTATTGCATTTTGAAAGGAAATGGTGTTAGCACGTGAAGAAGAAAATTTTGTGAGAAGCGGAAAATGGTATTTTGAAAGTTTAGGACATTCTGAGTGCTTGACTTTGCTTGCCATTGAAATTTCAGATTTTGGTAACATCGTGAAAGGCTGCTTGAGTCATTATTAAAATTTTCATATTCCGCACATTCTGCTTGATTAGTTCGTTTGAAATATTGCGATATTTATCAGTGCTTTAGAATGCACTGTGCATCAGTCACATAATTACTTGATATGAGATCGATCTGTCGTAAAGTAGGCTGTACTGCTTAAGATAGACACATCTTACGCAGCCATTTTTGATTGATTTGCTAATGTGCTGACTTTCAACCTTTAGATGGTAATGAGGTAAGAGCTTTATCAGGTGGATGGTAAGTTGTATCTGCTTTGCATTGGCATAAATAGAACAGTTACGGTGCATGACAATAAGATTATCCAAAAAGAATATTCAGAGGATTAATTCAAAATCTCCCAGCATAGAAGAGGCATGTTATATATACTTCAGCTGATATGGGGTCATGATCAAGCATTAATTATTTCCCTCTTTGGTCAATTCACTGTGCTAACTTAACATACACACTCGGATAAGGAAAGGGGCCTACTCATTTTTTTGGAGTAATATTGAATTGTGCACGTCTGTTCAATT